ATCGGAAGTGATTTCCTTGTAACTATGGAAATATTAATGTTCGCCTAGAAGCGCTGTTAGCTGTGCTAGAGTGCTAGTGCTAAAGTAGTTTGCTAGGGAATGAGCAGTAAGGATGGCGGCGCTAGTTGTCGCATAGGATGCAGTGGAAATCTGCTTATCGACAGCAGGTCGCTACAGTTATCCTCTTTTTTAAATAATTATTTAGCTTTTTATATATTATTCGTTAAATTCTTCATGCAGTTGTAAGTTTGTTTAAAATTTGGATATTGCATTGTAATCTTTTCCAGAAATTAATTATATTAATTGTATGTTATTTATTTAATTTTGAAATATGAATTTGTCTCATTAAATATATATATAATATATTGTAATAATTATTATTGTTTAGTGATGTGTAGTAACACACAATTGGTTATCTATTTGCATACATCATTTTTGTATGTATCCTACGTACTTATTATATTTAATTAGAATATATGCATGCTAAGAAATGAAAAGAAATGATGTTCTACTTTGGATTTACAATTTAAAAAAATTACAATTTTAATGAACTCAATGTTTCATTAATAATGTGTTAAGTGAAGAAACAGTTAATTGTTTATGTATATTAATTTTTACAATGGCAAGCACCAATGAATTTGGCCCGGATTCTGGTGGTAGAATCAAGGTATTTGAGGTTATATTTCACTTATTAAAATAGCCTCCACAACTATCAAGATTTAAAATATATTAACATGCTGTTACAATATTGAATAAAATTGTAATAATTGTAAATTATTTTTCAGGGTGTTACTATAGTTAAACCTATAGTTTATGGAAATATTTCTCGTTACTTTGGCAAAAAAAGAGAAGAAGATGGTCATACACATCAATGGACTGTTTACGTTAAACCATATCATAATGAAGATATGTCAACGTATGTTAAAAAAATACATTTTAAGTTACACGAAAGTTATAATAATCCTAATCGCATTGTGATTAAACCCCCATACGAATTGACTGAAACAGGTTGGGGTGAATTTGAAATTGTCATTAAAATATATTTTCATGATCCCAATGAACGACCTGTATGTATACACATCTACCTTATCATATAGAATATGAAAGATCTTTAATAATTACGTATTGTTTTTACAGGTGACTATATATCATATCTTAAAATTATTTCAATCGACTCCGGAGATACAACTCGGAAAGAAAAGTTTAGTATCTGAATTTTATGAGGAAATTGTTTTCCAAGATCCTACAGCGTTAATGCAACATTTATTGAGTACCACTAGACCTATTTCCGCTGGAAATTGGCGACACAATTCAGATTGTAAATATAAAACATTCAATATTGTCAGATATATCAATTTGTTAGATTACTTATAAAAATGCTCTTTATATTTTTTTCATTACTTTATGTTAATATCTTATTTTTACCAAACAGTTGAAGCTAAAAAAGAGTCAACAATGAAGGCGTTGGTAGATGCACGTACAAAGATTAGATTGCAAGTGATAGAACTGAAAGAAAAATTGACATTGGCTAAAGAAACTATATCCAATTTTAAAGAAGAAATTGCCAAAATTTCCAAAGCCGGTGGAACTTTATCTGTAACTTAATATTTGTATATATTAACATTTTTTAATTAGATGTTATATACGTATGTAAGCAAATAAATTAAACTAAAAAATTTTGTAACAAACCTAAACATTATTATTATTTGTAACTGTATGAAGGATAGAATAGATAATTAAATACTATCGATTAATATCGAATTTTCGATTATCATATCGACATGACTCAACATGCTTTTTGATTGGTCTATTTTAAAAAGTCCGCCATAATTATCGTTGTTCACCCTTTATATGACTACCATATTCAAAAATTCGAGACACGTATTACAACCGGTGCGTTGTCTATTAATTATTACGAATTAATTTAAAGATATGTCAGGAATTTGTAAACAAGTATTACGAACATTAAAAGCAGGCGCTGTTAATTCTTTAGTTATTGGAATTATTATTAATAGTTCGAATGTAAGAACATTCGATGCTACACAAACGAGATGTACGAATTGGTCATCTTATTTTACAAACTTTATGATGTTAATATATTGAACGTGACTGTTAGCAAAAATATTTCATGAATTTGTTGCAGTTAATAATGGCGAACGTGCTGTTTGGACGTTTACGTTACGAGATTCCGAAGAAGATTTTATAAACGTAACTGTGTGGGGTACAGTAGAATATGTTAAAAAATTAGTAACCGCTTTTCATATAGGTTCAATAGGTTTGTATCATATATTTTAATAGGAAATTTATAATACAATTTAATTATAACAATTAATCCTTTCGTTACTAGCGACTCATATATGGGTCGTCAATGCGAAGGCCCATATGTATGAGCATCCCTTATACGGGTAGTTCATGCAAAGGCCCCATATAAATTACTGACCCATATAGGGATCGTATGCAATATGACGTCATGCAAATACAAGTGAATTTATATGAAACGATACTTCTGCTAAATTATATCGCAACAAAAGGGTTAATAATAGATAGCGAAACGTTATGAATAAATTAGAGATATTTACTAACGTTAAAATTTACTTAAACATTGTAGTTAAATATTTTACTATCTAAATGGCAAGGTCATATATATGGCCTTATAACGTATAGATAAGCGTATAGATAAACGCATAAAATGCTAGCTAGCTAGATAAATAGATGAATAATTTTTGAACAAATATTATGTCATTATAATTGATATAATATATATATATATAGACCATAAGTTATTTAATTTGTTTAAATTTAATAATTATTTTTTTACTCTTATATATAATTATTTATTAAACAAATAATAGAGAAAACAAAATATAACGAATAAATTAGTTATTATTCACTACTGTTCAAGGAAACTTAAACGTTGCAATTGGATATTCAATTGTTTAAAAATAAGACCATATAGATAAATGCATTGAACACCAAACTGTTGTATGCTATTGTTTTTTTTTCTATTACAATTTAACATAGTCATTTATTTTATTGATCTGTTATTATTATGATTATTATTTATTACTATTATTGTTATACGTATTAAAATATGATTGCAGTTGAAGTGATAAATGCAAAAATATTAGCTCGACATATTGAGGACAAAGACGAAATTTTTGTACCTTTTGTATCAATTCCATATAAATTAATAGTGAACGAAGGTGTTGCACTAATACAGAACCATTATGCACCTGTTCATGATACCTATGAAAAATTATTAACAATACCAACTAAAAGCGCTGAACGTTTGCAAACATTGAAAAGTATATTAGAACAAATAGAAAATTTATGCGATCAATACGTCGACATTTTGGTTGTGGTCACGTTCGTACGTATAGACGTTATTTATTTTTTTTTTTTTATGTTAAAGATAATTTTTCAATTGTTATTATTAACATTGTGTATAGGTCAGCGGAGAACGTAATATAACCACTCGAGATGGTAGAACATTAAAATGTCGTAATTTCGAAGCTACGGATGGAACCAGCGAGTCACCAATAGTTTTTATACTTTGGGAAAACGAATGGATTGAAAGAGGAGCTACATGGCAGCCTAAATACACCGTTCTTTTTCTAGCCGACGCTCGTATCATGTTTGATAAATTTAAAAAGAAAACCGTCATAAGTATAGGTCCTAAATTATCTTATTTTATATAATATTATACATTTTTAATATTCCTTAACTTTTTTTTATATTTATATTATTAATTATATTATTTTTATACGAGGGTAGGTTGAAAAGTTGTGCGCCTCGCAGAAAAAGCTTTTATTATTGTTTTAAATAAAAGTGAATTGAGGGGACAGAAAAAAAAGTTGTTTCCATGTTAGATTCATAACTTTTCAATCCACTCAAGTATAAAGAAACAACGTAAGTTTTTGTCGTTTAAATTAATAGAAAAAAAAAAAACAAATAAATATGCAAACCTAAGAACGATAGAAATGGTTTGTCAGTAATTAATTATTGTATTATTGAAAAATTTAACGATACAATGTAATGATTTACTTAGTTAGAAAGACATTGATCACAGAGAATCCGAATATACCGGAGACAGAACTCGTAAGGAAAGCAGTAGATCACTTTGGTCGAGATATTTTTTCTGCCGATCCTTTTGCAGTACCTAATCGTGAGAATGAATTTAAAATGTTTTTTCTCTAAATTCTTTAATAGAAGATCAAATCAATGACATTTATTTTATAATTTGAACAAAATAGCCGATACGATTGTCACGGTGATGACTATAGAAGAAATTTCGGAAAAAATAAATCAAGCAGCTATCGTAGAAGATGGAAGATTACAATTTGCAACAATTTTGAAAGCGATGGTAACTGATATGAATTTGGATGACACTAATCCTGGTTTAATATCAACGAGATGGTATTTTTAATTTATCATAATATTCATCTAATAAATATATAAGTTGATATGATTATGATAAAGGAATAATTATTAAATTTACAGTGCTTTGTGTAAAAAATTAATTCTTAAAAATAACGACTCTTGTATGAATTTGGATTGTCCATGTGGCAACGGTACTCGTCCACCATTTAATGCAATAACTATTAACGTGAAAGTTAATTTAAAAGACGATACTGGATATCTAATCGGTTGTAGATTAAGTGGAGAAATTGCGGAATGTATTTTGGGTTGCACAGCTAATGAATTTCAGGTGATGATGTTATCCACAAATTCTTAAACCAAAATTCTATACCAACAACAACAACAACAACAACAACGATAACAATAAAATCATTAAAATTAATCATAAATGAATATATATATATGTAAGTGAGTTGAACATTTTTGAGCCTAGTTCAAAACTTTTCAACTCATCCTCGTATAGTTTTTTGGACACAATTGGTTCCTCTTGTTACGTCAATCGTAACATATGTGTATTTACATGAGTTCAAACGAGTATGGAATACGGAATATATAGAGAGAAACCATTTTGGTTGCTATATCGTTAACCGGTTTCCTGTATATTACCGATATGTATCGTTCCACAGCATGTATATTTACATATGTACTTGTGCATAATACATATACATGTATTTACACCGTACATATGCACGTACGAGGTCAAGAGGTTTTCTTCGTTCAAAGAAGAAAGCCAACCTCGACGTTATATTTTTTTATTATATTTTTATCCAAAAGTAATCATCAAAATTAAATTTTCTAATGAAATTAATTACGATTTATAATTAATATATATCTGTTTCTTTTATATGTGGATACAATATACTATAGGCTATGACAGTAGCTCAACGAGCCGATTTAAAATGGATGTATGTTATGGAAAAATGTGACGTACGTTTGCACGTGTTGGGACCAACGTCTCTCTTTCCTCGTGCTTTGTATAATATTTTATCAATGCGGCCAACTGCCAAAGAAGATAAAGAACTGAATCAACCGGATAAAACTTCTAACATTTAAAAGGATAATGTTAAGAAATATAAATATGACAATTAAAAAAGAAAAATACAAAAAATACATAAAAATATAATAAAGAGAGAATTTAATTTTATTCTTTTAAAAGATATATCAAAATATGACACAAACATATAAAGCGCGCGTGTGTTAATTTATTATCATTTATCAATGTATATATATATATTCTTATTTCATTTCTATTTGATAAATGATCAATCAAAATGTTTTTTATTTATGAATATCCAATAAGCGATAAAACATTTTACCAATCATAATTAACGAAAATTAATCAAACAAACGGTTATTAACGAACGATTAAATGATCAACGAACATTGTCAATCAATCGAGTAATCGATTTTAAAAAAAAGAGACACGAAAGAATCGATATTGTTATAATCGTAGGTGAGGGTAATGAATGACGCTATCATTGGGCCATGCCTCCTCCAGGCCCATGTTCTTTTAATTAAAAAAAGGATTAGAAGACGTATTTAAGGTAAATGATCAACGTTTTCTTTTTATTTAAATAATAAATAAACCAATAGAAAAAAATAATACTGAATAAAACATTAAATGATACTATTTGAATTTAGTTTCATGTTTGTTTTGTTTATTTTTGTAAGTAACCGAAGGAGATCCTGCAAAGGATGGAAGAGGACGTAGATAAAAAAGAAGAACAAGAAATTGTTGTAAATAAACAATCCTGTTCTTCCCCTAATTCGGACGAACAACTTAAATGTTCTCTCTATCTTTCCTGCAGTAGTATTATTCCTTGTGGTCAGGATCACCGAAGTCAAGGTAGATCGATTGAAAGAACCTGTGAATCCTTGTGAACACGCGCACACACACACACACACATTGTTTCTAACTTTATTATATTTATTATAATTATCAAAGATGGTGAGAATCTTCGGTCACGATTAGAAGAAGCTATTGGTAGTTCGGAACCTTCAGGAAAATGGCAAATTTTCGAAACTTTGTGCGGTTTTATTATAACATTTGAACGAGAAACCGATGTGGATAATCTATTACAACATTGCGATTTTGCACGACTTTTTGAAGGACCTGTACAAGTTAGTCATTATCATGTTTTATATAAATAGAACGTTTCAGTTTTTACTAATTTACAAATATTTCATGAGAGTTTATATATCAGGTAGCTCGATTTGCTGCAAGAGATACTCGTTATAAACAATTTGTGCTACTTCGTGACGTACCTTGGGCAATACCACTTCAAGAACTTAGCTCCGCGTTGGAGATGCAGGGAATAGCGACTGGGATTATCGAAAGATCGCGTCAATATGTTCGAGTTGAGGTAATCTCTCTCTCAATAATGATTTAAATAATAATCTTGCAATTAAGATTGAACCCAAAGAAATAAACGATGATAAGAACAATAATGCGTTTAGCTTTTGGAAGCGGAACATTACGAGCTTCTATTAAGACAAGGATTAGATTTCTTCAGTGTTGCACGCTTCAGTGCTATTCCCGAAAGATGGTGCCGTCCTGGAACTGGAAATATTGCTATGCCACCGATTATTTCCGGTAATTTCGCTCCAGGACATTCTCCTGAAACATCTAATTCTCATCAAGGCGATAGTGTTCTTCAATGTTATCGATGCCAAGGATTTTGGCACGTGGCTGCTAATTGTCGACATTTGCCAAGATGCGTTCGTTGTGGTGAACCGCACAGCGTTGAATTTTGTCCAAGACCAAGAAATAATCCTATCTGTTGTCATTGTTCCGGCCCACATCATGCGGGTAAATCTAATTCGATATAATCCCGTCCTTGTTGTTTCATTTTAATCTTCATTCATTGTATTCATTTTAATCGTCACATTTTAGGCTACCGACAATGTCCTGTTAGATTGCAATTATCCAACGCTACTCCTATCAGCATCACTTTAAGCACAGCACGTGCTGAAGGCCAATATTCGTCGAATCCTACAAATAATAAATCAACGCCTTCACCCCAAGGGTTGTCACCATTAAAACCAAACCTTTCTTAAGCTATCGTTAAACGATTTGGGTGATCATTTTCTCATCTTTCCTTTGATATCAATTACTTCAAATCTTTTAAATTTCATGTTGATATCATGCGATCCATGATTCATGTGATCTATAGTTAAAGACTGATTATAGACTTATTCTCCGATAACTAGGCTATCGTGCCACAATGTTACGTACGAAAGTTTCTCTTTTTCAACGAAGAAATCGTAAAAGTAATACGGAAATAACTTATTTTCTCTCTAATATTTCTTTTTTGTCTAATATATTTTCTTTTGTTATTATTTTATTATTTAATAATATAAATATTTGTTTATGTGTACGGTATAATAAAAATTTATTTTAATAAAATGTATTCTCTCTCTCTCTCTCTCTATTCATTACGAATAAATGTAAATCGAATTTGACTCGTCACACTTCTTTTTAAAATACGTATTACAATTTTTAAAGAGTCGATGAAACTCGACTTACGAAAAGTTTGCTATGAAATTTATAATTTACTACTATCCGCAAAATAATGTAAACGTTTCTGTGTGTTTTTATATACATTTTTTTCCCTTCTTCTTGTCTGCGCCCCACTTTCTTCGTCCTAGTCGCAGTGAATGTTCAGTGAAGATTCCGTGATCAAACGACACACAACGTTGTTTCGAGTGACAGAGAAGGGATCATTAATCTAAGGAAAAAAGATATTGCACTCGTACAGTTATATTCAGTTATTTAATTTAATTCTATCGATAGATAATCTATTTTTACTCACGTGTCTAATTATTTCAAGATTAAAAACCGTGAATTACAAATGTTTCAAGTTAAATAGTGAAAGTATATGAACTCGAAGAAATATTAAAAAGAAAAAGAAATATATATTTATTACCTTATTATATATATATATTTGTGGAAAACGATTTTTACATATCAACTTTCATGTTTCAATGAACGTTTCTACGTAAACATCATGAAAAATATAGAATTTATCATCATTTTAAGGTAAACAAACACAAAAAGGAAAGTTAAATCTTGAAATGAATTATCAAAAAACCGCACGATGTCTTTTTTAACTATTACATATTCTATCATTTCCTACGATATAGGATGGTACGTTTTAAATGTTATCACTTAGAATTACTATAATACAATTGTCCTGTCACGTCAAAAAAAAATATCTTTTGCACGTGCATAATAACATTGTATTAAATAATTTTGTTAAATAATTGTACTTTATATCAAAATCTCAAACACAAGAGAATTTTGGTGTCTTTGTTTTCATTAATTAATTTCAAAGTAATTATCAATATGTCCGTTATTATATTTGTTTACGAAGAACGTGCAAGGTTTCAGATATAAATATTGTGGAAGAGATAACAAAATTATAAATCATTCGGATATCATTAATTTAATCCATGGATGAGAAATTTTGTTCTAATATCAAAATGACTTCGGTGAATGCGATAGTATTTATTTTACTAACGTTAACCGCGAGTAGTTTGCAAAGGCCTACTTTTTTTAAAAATACTTTCAAAGGATTGCGAGGAATTTCAACGAATGTAAATTTGTTGAAACACGTAAGAGCGGTTTACTATCACGAGCAAACCGTTGCTATCGTCGATCTCGGATTTAACAACGAATTACACGATTGCAATATCGTTGAAGTATAGTAAGTTGAATATGAAGTTATAACAATCATAAGAAAATAAATGATTAAATATATAATGTTTATATATAAATTCGCGTCTTATACAGTGAACCAGAAGAAGCTGTCGAAGTACTCAGAAATTTATCACTGACTGCAAATCCACAAAGAGTATCGTTTGAACAAATAATGAAGCTTCTACAACAATGTGAAACTTTGGATAGTATACAAACTCAAGATTTATTAGATACTTCGGAAGATAAGCAAGATGGAAAAAGTTATTCTCGAATAAGTCCGCTTACTTTATTTTCAGGAATATTACCAGGTAATTCATTACTGTCTTCTTTACTTTTTTTTTATTCTTTTTAAAGTATATCATTTTCGTATTGAACATTTAATTTCTTTGATTCATTTTTTTCGAGGAACAAAATGGTGTGGAGCTGGAGACATAGCTGATAATTATCACGATTTGGGACGAGAAGCAAATATTGATAGGTTCGAATACCTTTATTAATATCAAAATGCAAATAGAATTAATTAGACAAATACTTTCTGCTTCAACAGGTGCTGCCGCAATCACGATTTGTGTCCTGTAAAAGTAAGAGCTCATACATCGCGCTTCAACTTAAACAATAATTCTTTGTACACTAAGTAAGTGTAATACAATATTTTATTTTATATATAAATATTTAAAATAAAAATTTGATGTAGAATGCGCGAAAAGAATATACGCGCGTGTGTGTGTGTGTTTTTGAGGTGACGTGACTGAAAGTGTGTCTAAAAGTGAGACTGTGTGTGTCTGTATTTAAATTTTTAATTTTTAATAATTAAATATAAAATTTACCCTCTTTTTATTGTTTTCAAGCCTATCCCGCATTTCTTATAATATATCTATAAATATTAAACAATATTATATGTAAATGTGTTTATCTGTAAGGAATATAATATCAACACGTCTGATGAATCATCATAATTATTTTTAATCTTACCTATTTCAGATCGCATTGTACTTGTGACGAATTATTTTACAACTGTTTGAAAAATACTAAAAATTCAATTGCCGATCTTTTGGGTAACATATATTTTAATATTATAAGAGTGCCATGCATAGAGGATATTTCAAGTCGATGGAATCAAGAATCTGAAAAGCAATTTATTTCTGTGAAAATGAAGTATTAATCTTCTTTGATAAATTATTTGTTAAGCTTGTTTTCTATTTTAAATCTGACACAATCAAATATTAAAACAAATGTGTGAATGTATACTTTTAATTGATTATACATACCCCATTGTCGATGTAAATAATTTACTTTTATACTATCCCATCGTGGATGCAATAATTTCTTCTAATGGTGGTAAAAATGGGATGATATCTTGAATTGTTTGACTCACACTCGAGGATGCATGATTGCATAAGTTTCCTATAAAGATATTGATAAAGATATAGATTTGTCACATATAATTGTAATGATTAAATTATTTATGAATTTTTACCTAACAACCACAAGGTTTCTTTTCTTATATGCTTATGATGATGAGATAATAAAATTCTGAATAACTCTTGCGCATTCAAATCACCAATCTGTAGATCCATGAAAAATGTATTTACAATATCTTCAAGCGTGTTAGGGGTCAGTAAGTTTCCTAGTATACGTAAACATGCTGCAATCTGACATAATTCAATTATATTAATATTTAGAACAGAATATAGTATTTATAGAATAAAAAAACATATATGTACCAAGGAACTAGTATCAGACAAATAATTAGGAATAGACCGATGCAAAAAGTTAATGATAAATGGTAACACGTAATATAATGAACTGCCACATGCTACATTTGAAGATAATAATGCCAGTAGCCAGAGAGTATCAGAATTTTCTTCAAATAAGTGTCTGTATTTGCATGCTTCCGCAAGCTCCATCAACTCAGTTTCCCTGAAAAATAAATAAATTTATTAGCAATATTTACAATGGAAGATAATAAATATGGAATTTAATAGATAATTTTTAGTGTTTTTTTTTTTTAAAGTTATATACTTGATGAAAGAAAATCCCCCGTATAGGTAGTGCAAAGTTGCATATACTACGGAAGGAAGAATTTTATTATCGCATTCATTTAACAATTTTATTAGATAACATAGACACTTCTGCGCATGTAAAATTTCAAAAGCTTTTTGACTTTTGCTGGACAAATTTCCAATGGTCCAAAGACAGACTTCCTAGAATTAAGGTATTAATAATTTTTATCATGTGTGTGTCAATTTAGATCTATGTGAATATATATATATATATAAAAAAAACACACTAATATTATTTACCAATAAAGGACAGTTCAAGCTTTCACATTCGGCAATTAAATACGGAGATATATATTTGGCTATTGCTGTGCAAGCTTTTGTATTACCAAGAGCAATGTTGCAACAACAATTTGCAGCGCCCAATTGCGATATTGGATTGTTTCCAGAAATATCTCGTACCAATGCAAATATTAATTTGTTAACTTTTAATAATGCTTCAATATTCGATTCTGACTGAAAAATATTAGAATATTAATTAATTGATATTATTAAATTAAGCCTATCAAAATTTGTTGTTTTACAAATTTATTTATAAATATAATTAAAACCTGAATTAAAGCATTTTGCAAATGACGATAATCGTCAACGTTAAAACTCTTCTTTTTAAGCTTCTTCGCAATTTCTGTAACAAATGCTGGAGAATAAGATGCATATTGTATACATTCTCCAAGGGCAGGACGATTTTCATTAAGCACTCTGGCACGTTGCTTTTTCCTTTCGATACTAATAGTGTTTCTTATACGTTCTCTTATATTTTCCATTTTACAATTATTTTAACAACACTTTTATATTTCATTAATAATACAACGTTGCTCCATGAATAAAATACATTTTCACAAGACTACATTATCGTTCGAAGCACCATCTATCAATGAAACGTATAACTAAGATACCGAGTTCCTAACGATAGGCAATACCTTCATACATACGCGTATGAAAAAAAACTGAATAATTAGATAAATCGAATATGTGCCAATTGTAAGAATTTAATATTTTATGGAAAAATGATTATTTTTTTTTTTTAACAAACATAATATATGTTTTTATCGATCACTATGTAAACCTTCTACACGTTATACTTTCATAAAATAAAAATGTTCATGGGCTATTCACTCTGCTTGGGAAAAGAAATAAAAATGAATAAAAATACGAAGAGCCCAACGAATATTTTTCTTTGGGTGGACAGATATCACGAGAAAAAAGAAAAAGAAAATAAGAAATCTAGATAACAACTGATAAATAAATGATTTGCGTATGCGACGTTACATCGAAGGATGTATTTCAGTCCTAATAATAGGATTGCTTGAAAAATTCTGCGTAAAGTTTTATTGATTGTCTCGACGCTTCAGAAAACTTTTTTTTATCGAAAATTATAGGATATATGCGAATACAAAATTATATGCTTTCGTATCACACTCATACTTCCATAATTATGTAAAATATACTCGTGAGAAAATACTGACTAAAGAAAAAAACCTCGAATCTTATATAACTTTGCTGGTGTTTCTTGAAAGGGAACGTGTAAGCTAGAATTTTTCTTTGATATCATCGATCGTAAAAAGATCTTTGGAATTGACAAAAAAATAATGGATTTGTTTACCGATGGCTATTACAAACTCAATCGTTTACTTCTATTAATAATGGGCCAATGGCCTGATCAAAATTACAAAATCAAATTAATTCTTATGATTAACACGGTCTCTTATTTAAGTTTCTGTTTGTTAGGACAGGTAAAAAATATTCAAATCTTTATTCATATTTCTGATTTATCTTGATATTTCACATCTGCATATTCTTTTACATAATTGTGTTTGAAAAACAAAATTTAGATAATTAAGCTGGTCAAAGCTGGACACCATTTGGATCTTATATTCGAAATTTTAGTATCATTCTTGTCTAATAGTATTTGCATAATAAGGTACTGCAATTGCATCGTCAATGTGAAAAAGGTGAGAAATTAACAAAAAAGAACCAAAGAAAAGAAAATATTATCATAAAATTCGATAAAAAGAAAATAAAATTAATAATTTTTACGATCGTATATCTCATAGTTTACAAAATTGTTGGAAGATATTCAAGATCTTTGGAATGTGACAAAAACGAAGGAAGAAATAGAAATAATGGAAATGTATGCTAAAGAAAATAGAAATTATACTTTATTTCTTACAGGTAAAAAGAAAAGAAAAATGTCAGGACCCGTTTAAATTTCGATATATTTTTTAAATTATTTAATATTGTACCATTTGTTGTAGCGGTCAGTTATTTTTCCTTAGGTTTCGTAAATTTGTTATCTTTGATGCCGTGCATATTGGACATCGTTTTGCCACTTAACGTTACGCGAACACGTAAATTTTTGTATCAAGCAGAATTTTTTCTCGATACGGAGAAATATTTTTATCCAATTTTATTGCACACATGGATAACTATGTTTTTTGGCGTAACTATATTGGTCACTACGGAAAGTATATTTCTTTTGTTCGCTCAACATTGTTGCAGTATGTACAAAGTACTTTGGTACGTGAATCTATGAATTTTCCCATGTGTTTTTTTTTTTTTTTTTCATAATTAATGTCATAATAAAAGAGATTAAAAAATTAAGACAAATATTTAATCTTATCGTAAATAATTAAATAGGTGTTTAATATGTTTCATTGAATTATTATTTTCTTATTTCAAAAAGAAATCGATTAACAGTTCGTATAATTTTCATTATGATTGTTTTTTTTTAAATAAAAAATAATTATTAGTTACAGATTGGAGCATGCTTTCGATACAAATTTAGAAAACACTGACATGGACAATGCTTATTACAAAGCTCGTTATAAAATAACGGATTGCGTTAAATATCATACACAAATCTTGGAGTTGGTATCAATGTGGCTTGGATTCATTGATATAAATCAATCATTCATAGATTTTTCTTATTACATTAAAACACGCCGTTTAATTGATAACAAATATTTCTTTAATACCATTTAATATCGTATAATTGTGCATCAATTGTTGTTAAAAAAACATTTATCATGATTCATAACTACCACGAATTATCAACAATGCAATAATTATTTGTTCATTTTAATATTAATCATATTTTTCTTTTTTTATTATTTAATCGCATAATCAATGCAACATGTAAACATCAAATAACATTCACGTAACATGCATTATTATATAATAAATGTTAATCATTTGATCACTTATACTCTTAAATATTTTTTATGATAATATAAAAAAAATATATAGTTATTTGTATTTAAAAAAAAAAAGAACAAAAATTAGTAAGACCATGATTTCTTTTTTAAAATGACATATTATTTTTCTTTGATCAAGGTTCGTCGCAACTATTATTTCCTATCATGAATATTCTTTTATTATTCAATTTTTAATCATTGTATTATTAACGAGTATCATTTTGGTTCAAGTAAGTAAATATTTTTATTCAATTATCGTTCTTTCGGTGTTTATTTTCCCACATGTTTATATTATCTATGCATGTAGTAGGAACATATATATTTTGAATGACAAATTTATATTTTTTGCAATTAGATTAAAATGCTTCTTGGAAAATTAGAAGTATTATTATATTTAACTTTACTTGGAAGCATTTTTTGTCATGGATTTCTTTGTGCTTATCCTGCACAAAAAGTTATGGATCATAGTAATTTTTTATTCGAAAATGCGTTAGTAATAATATATATATATATATTTTTTTTTTAAGTATTGAATTATATTATAATTAAAAGAGTATATTATATTATTATTATAATTTCATTGTATATTATATTTCTATCAATTTGTAGATAC